AGCTACAAATAAGAAAGGCAATGCATTTCTCGATACATTTCTGTACCAAGTGAATCTCTCTCTCTTAAGAGTTTTTCTAAGAAAAGGTTTTTACATTTTGCTTCAAATTATATGTAATTTATTCCTAATTTGTGATAGAGACCAATTCAGATATTTTTTGTAGGCGCAGCTGAGCCATGAAAAGTGTTTATACTTTCCTAATGGAAAAAAAATATTGTATATTATATATAATTGGAAGATTAGCAGGCAGATGTCAACAAAGCAATTTTGTTTTTGTGTATAGAGAAGGCTTTCTTTGGGATATTCACTTGGGATGAGAGGCACGGGTATATCTATTATGATGGTTACTAAGTCTCTCCTTTATCTCTTGGCAGAACCTTTGTTATCTGGAGAGACGACGCTGCCTCTGAAGTGCCCCGGGGATGATGTAAACCTCTCACCACTGGCTTCCGTGGATGCTTTGCTTCTGCAGGGCAAGGATGACTTCTCAAGTTTTCTGCCCTCTGAATTCATTGCACTTTCACCACCCCAGACTCAGGACTATCACTTTGGGCTTGAGGAGGGTGAAGGCATCAGTGAGCTCTTTGACTGTGACTTTGGAGATTTCACCTCCTTGGATTTTTGAATATCCTCTGGTTGGGGAAAGGGGAGCACCACACGGTCAACTCTACCCCATCATAGGGGATCTTTTTGCAGCTGACATCTGAACATAATTCCAGGGCTAGTTGTCGTCTTCAGAGCCAGCGTGCTGTAAATCAGATGCCAGGGAAGGAAAATGGCAGCTGTGGTCGGGCATCAGTGACAATGAGAGCACTCAGCTCCTGGAAGGGCTGCCTTTTGCTGGCCATCTCCCTGTAATTGAGGGAGATGGCTGTGAAGCTAATTGCTGCTGTGAATGTTGCAAGCTTGTTTTTGTGACCTGGTTGAGAGTCAGCAGGCATCACCTCAAGCCTGCTGTGCCCAGGCCCAGAGTAGTAATAATACTTAGGAATGGGTGAGTAGTGTCACCTTGATTCTCTGGTGCCATGTTTGGAATCTATAGGGATAGCTGTAGAGATGCTGTTGCAGCAGCCTAGTTATTCTTGTTGAACCACTCCTTTCCCTGAATTTCACTTTAGACAATACTTGGCTGTGGGCAGGCCCCCCTTTTTTATCAGGTGCTTAATTTTCTATGTATTAAGCAATTATCAATCTTGGCTTAGAAAAAGATGATGGTCAGAAGCTATCCTTAGAAGAGGGGCCCTTCCATTCCTTTCTCAGCAAACTGTTTGGGATGTGTGGCAGAAGCACTGAGCACATTATTGTGAGGGACACCTTTCTGCCAGGCAGCGGTGGGAGAAGGTGACCAGAATGGTACTTCTCAGAACAGTCATTGATCTGTCCTCTTACAATCCATCTCTACCTGGTTGGATGGCATTTTTATCTTTTACCTTTGCTGGCAATGATAAACCAGAGATTTGCAACTCAGTAGTCAAAGTCAAAGAATGGCCAAGTAGAAGATAAAGACAACCAACTGGATGGGATAGGATGGATGATACAATGGGAGCCTTTTGTTAAACAAGCTGCTCAAACTAGTGAAAGATAATGGGTAACTGGATGTGTTAGAAAAGTGGGTGGGCTTTTTTTGCTCTTTTTTTAAAAAAAATATTCTGGTTGAAAAGGAGAAACTGGCTTACAAATAGGAGGCACCAAGAATAATGGGGTGAATTGTTTCTGGATGCTGATGCAAGCATATTTTTTTTCTTTTTCCTTGTGAGCCTCACCATAAAGCTTTAAGGAGGGTCCTGTACAGATTATTTATTTATTTTGGTTGTTCCTCACCTCCCACTATGGATATTATTTTGTGGAAAGCCAATTCCCTGGTAGAATATATCTTTATCTATCTGGGGATGGGATGGGTTTTTATTATGGTGATTTTTTTTTAATAGTGAGGTGCTCAGTCTGCTCAACTGTCTTTAGTTTTAGAGCAGACAGCCAACAAGGCAGAGGGGACACTGCTTGTCGTAGGAAATGAAGTTACTGGAACGTTTTGCTTCAGCAGGAGGAAGAGAGGGTTGCTGGCCATTCTCCATGATCGTAAGGGAGGTTAACCCTACACAGTATTGTGAGACAACAAGCAACCAATGCCTTTGTTTGCCCCTTTCCTGTAAGGTGAAGGGGAAAACACTGACTCTTTTTCCTTATTATCCTAAACCCCATGCTAAGCATAAGGTGTGTCCAGAAATCATGGATTCATATTATTTATTTATTATTTATGTGCCTCCATCCAGTATTCCTGGAAGATAAAGGATAGTGTCAGAGGATTATGGGTGCATGAAGTAGAACTCAACATGTCCAGGTATGTGGAAAGAAACCCTTTTAGGTATCTTGTTAGAATTGCTGACCTAGCAAGTGGCAGCAGAGAACCTGGGAAGAAGTAGGTTGTAGTCAGAGAGCCTTGAATAGCAAAGAGATTCAATGTCTCATCAATATGTTGAGAGCGTATGACTGGTCAAGACAAGTGAACTTAAATGCTATTTATTCATAGAGGATGGACGGCAGGTTCATCTTTTAGAGTAGTGTTTCTCAACCTCGCTAATTTTAAGATGTGCGGACTTCAACTCCTAGAATTCCTCAGTCTGAGAATTGAAGTCCATGCATCTTAAAGTTGCTGAGGTTGAGTAACACTGCTGTAGAGAAATATTTTGGTATGTTGAAAGGGAGGGTGGGGGAGGGAAACACACATTGTGCTAGGATAAGAGTTTGTGGAAGGAATAGTTTTATTCCAGGTTTATCCATTTTGAGAAGTAGCGTTAGTTGAAGGAATGGGGCTTTAGCAGCAGGTATGGATGCCATCAGCTTGATTAGGAATACTTCCTAGTGCATCACAAAGCAGTAATTGGTGCTGTCCCTGAGGTGCCTTCTTAGTCCTTTAAGTATTATTTCAGTTCCTGGAACTCACCAAAGTGTGCTCCTACATATTAGGAGGGTATTTTGCTTTATGGAAAGGTAACAATGACTCGGTGTGTGGCTTTGGGTGGGGGTTGTGTATTAGTGTTCTTAATAGATGAGAGAACTACTAATGTAAAGCATTGTGACACCTAGTCCCAAATAATTTAAATTTCACTGGAGCTTTTTTTTTTTTTTGGATAAGACTAAACAAAAGCATCTCTTAAGTGGGTCTTCTTCAGGCAACACATATAAAAATGCTTTCTCAAATCAAAATTAATCAGGCAGCAGATGGTTGTATAAACATATAGGTACACAACGTGATTCCTGTTCTCTCTCCTCACTTTTCATCTCTTTCTCAGGTTGCCAGATCCTAAAGCTGAATCAAGTTAAAAATTATCCCTGTGTTGCTAGAATCTGCATAAGGAGAAACGTCTAACTCTCTCCAGACATTGCATTTTCCAAGTTGGACATTTGCAATTAGACTGTCTTCAAGAAACTTAATGCTGTGTTCTCTTAGACTGCACTACTTCAGAATAATAGCTGGCAAAATATGTTCTCTGTAACCAAGGTACAACTTATTTCTTGTTTCAGATACAAACAGGAGAGCAATTTGATCATAGTCACATTAATTACTGATCTCTTAAGTGAGCCTTATCTGGATGCCTTGTGGATTTCCTATCATCTTAAATGTTAGCCAAGGTGGCTGGAGCTGATGGCAGTTTTAACTCAGTTTATCTACAGAGTACCAGAGTTACAAATCTGGATTGCATTTCTGTACATAGGTCATCTTCCCATTCTGACAGGTTTATCTTTTTGAATTGTGGATATCTCTCTCAGTGACTGCAGCAAAACAGAGTGACAATCTGTTCCAAAGGACTCAATGATAGATTTATATCTTTTGATATATCCATTCTGAGCATACCTTGCTTTTCCAAAGGAGAGACAAGTGCTGCTTTGGCCAACCTCTTTCTGATGCAGCTCATACAAAAGTCACTGTAATGTACCAGATATTTTTTCTCTTTAACTTATCTAGTGCAGGCTACTAGCCCCCCCCCCCTTCAGAAAAAAAAGTCTGGTTGCTAGAAAAATAAGGGAACAGATTCCATAAAAGATTGTGTTGATATTTGCCTACTGGAGTACTTTCCTGAATTGATGTTCCATTCTTACTTGTTGGGAACAAAAATAATAATGCTGTGATGCCAGGGCCCATTTTCTGGATATATCAAAGCAATAAACCATGCTGTATTCTTTACATTTTAGATAATTCTTGAATGTATTTCCTTCTTGATAGTTACCTAGAATGTAAGGAGTAGAACATAGTTATCTGTGGTGGAATGACAAGCACCCATAATTGTTACTAAAATTCTATCCTGCAAAAATCCCTGAAGAGGCTTCAGCAAAATACAGTACACTTTATGGTTCAATAAGCTGAACAGCATTTTCATAATAGCAAGTCAGGATTTGAACCCTGTTCTGCTGCCTGCTTGGGATTGGGGGGAAAATTATGCATGACTGAGAGGTCTTCCTATAGACCTCTCAAGTTTCCCCCAGTTCAACAAATAAGATGGCTGCTATCTTCCTTGATAATCTCAGTTTTCACTTCTACATTAAAATGCTGCTTAATGTTTTCATTCTTGAACTTCAGCATCACCTGCAACGGAAAGCTATTCTATAATTTTTGAAGTCATGACCTTTACATGGGGTAAAGGTCATGAGGCCTTCTTACCCTACCTCAGTATGGGTAACCCTCCTGGCTGAGATATCAGCATGTTGTTTGAAAGAAGGAAGACCTTCATGCTATTTGAGGAACTCCAGC